TTCTCCTTAAGGAGACATTATAGTAAATAAATAAGCAAATGAATGTGAGTCAACAGGGAGATGAAAAGACTTAGATGAATGATGGTTAAGGAATTCTTAAAACCCTCTCACTAATGGGGGTGAAGGCCCTCAGTGCTCTCAGCCCACCCAGTTTCTGTGTGTTCTTTCCTAATCTTGGTTTTTTGTAAATTAAGTCTTTAACCACAGTTGAGCAATTACAAAATTTCTTCATGGAGCAAGTCTGCACTTGCAGACATGTTGATATCTTCCAGAATGTCCACAGCAAAGTACTCATAGCAGCAAAACTCTGGAAACTACTCGTATGTCCATCAAGAGGATTCTGGGAACCTGATCAAGTGTTATGCCAACTTGGTACCATTGCTCACGGGAAAATGATAAATTGCTTGATAAACCGATAAATTGTTTGTGGACCAGGGAAACGAGAGCTATTTGGTAGGAAGCCATAGCGTAAGGCTTCTCTGAGTGAGGGGACTCCTGTAACTCAACATGTCCCTCACGGGGACTCTGGACGTTCTGCCCAGGGAGTTGTGCCCAGAGGAAGTGGCTCTCCTGTTACATAGGATTCTATGGCAGAGTGCTTCTCGAATCTTCCCCACGTGGGGCTCCTCTCCTACCACCTAAGCTATTACCTGCGAGAGGTGGCGCAAAGAGAACAGCATCTGGACAGCTGTGTGGACTGCAGTGGACGCTGTTGCCAGACCCCCTCCGTGCCTCGGCCCTGCCGGGAAGCAGTGATCTCTGTCTTACTTCGTCCCTGGGTCACCCGGTGCCAAGCGTGGCCTATGGGAGTCCTGTGAGTCTGAATGTTTAGTTGGACCCAAGAAGACCTCCTGAGGGCACTGCAAATGGTTACTTCTGAGGATCAGATTAAGAGAAACTTTCACATTCTATGTATATATCTTTGAATAATTTCAGTCTTTAACCATAAACATGTAACTTATTATCTGGAGAAAAAAGGACTACTGAAAGAAAAAAAAACCTCCATAAAAGGAACTGTCACATCAAACTCCTTTAGAGGTCTATGCCCAGGAAAACATGACTAAGACTCCACAATGAAATGGGAATGAGTAGGACGTAACTTTAGACAAAGTTCCAAAAGATTAAAAGCTATAACCAAATCTACAGTTTTGAGGTGAATAAACGTTCTCTATCTTGGTAAGTATAGCACAAATTCTGGATATACTGAATTCAAGTGTGTTTTTTCAGTATTTTTTCAGCTTGATTAAGGATTTGGAACCTTGTATGACTAGATAAATTGAATACGTATCATTTAAAAAATGTTCACCAACCATTTTGTTATGCAATTAAGACAGCAAGAGTAGTTTTCTATTTTCTAATTCCATAGAAATAATGAGTCCAATGCGGTGAAGGGATGAGGTAAATAAAACTTGTCCCCACTTGGCTATGAAACAGCCATTCCCCGAGAGGAAACTTTCAGCATTCTTCCATATGAACCCTTTGGCTTTCTTTCCTGAAGAAATACTGTCTTTAACAAGTCCAATAATTTCCAGGATGTTGTCAGGCCAAACAGCTACCCCATTTGGAGGTAGCTAATTACTTCAAGAAGATTGACATTATATACAATTATATGAACAATTATAAGATGGATCATAACTGATGAATACAGATTATTGACCTCAAGTCCCAACAAACACTCAGCAAGTAAGACGATGTGAAGTGAGGCTGCACAAAAGAAATGTCAACTTAACGAAAAAAATAAACCTGATATTTATCTTGATATTTAAGCTTCAACTTGAAAATGTTAAATGGACGATGCTGTCCTCTCACTAAAATAAGATTTATCACCATCTAGAATGACATGCTACTGTGTGCTTAGAGATAATGTTTCTCCCCGGTTCTGTTTCGATAATATTGTTTGGTTAGAGATAGGAAATAGAGATGAACTGCCTGGGCTTCTGCTCACGGGTTGTGTCACAAGAGGCGAGTCTCTCGTTCCTACCACAGAGACCATGAATGTCAAAGGCGCAGCACAGCCGGGCAGGAAGCGCTCAGTGAATTGGGAGGAGGAGTTCGTCAGAGCTGTGGCCAAGGAAAAGCTCTGTGGCACCTGGGCAGCCCTGCAGGGTTTGTAATTAGCTCAGCTTCCCTGTCTCCAGGGGTGCTTGTTTTAGGATCTCACCACATGGTTTCAACCACTATTCACATTCTCTCTTCTCTTTCAAATACATGTACACATGTCTGTAGTTCCCCTTTCATAACGGTTTTTTGTCCTTTTAAGAAAGAAACTGTAAGTCAGAAAGCTGGACTCAGTGTGGAAAAGCAACTTCCCATCTTCGTTACCATTTAGACCACGAGTCTGTCTTCAGGAAAGGGGTTTCTGGGAGAAGTCCTCTATGAACAGAATGGAAATTCCAGCTGGGTTTCAACGTCCAGACCTTCTTAAATATCATCCAGTGGTTTCCCACAGCACTCAGACTCAGGTTCATGGTGCCACGTGGTCAGGCCCCTGCCCTCCTCTTTACCACACTGGCCACTCCCTGGGTCTTCTCATTCTGGAAACACGCTGAGCTTGGTCCCATCCCAGGGCCTTTGCATTTGCTGCTCCCTCACCTTCAGCTGTGCTCACCTCCAGATCTTCACACCTCTCTTCTTTTCAGCATTCAGATCTCAGCTCAGTCTCACCCCAAGATCACCCTTTCTAGCTGCACATCTAAAGCAGCCCACTGCCCAGCTCTCAGGCCACACTATCACATTGCCTTGTATTTTCTCCATGGCACCTAACATTACCTAAAATCCTCTTATTTACTGGGCTTTGTTTGTCTGTTTATTGCTCATTTTCTCTGCTGCATGAGAGGAGGGATGTCGCTGTCTTGCTCACAATTGTATGCACAGTGTGGGGCTGCTCAATACAGATTTATGACCAAATGAAGGAGGAAACCAGCTCGATTTTCTTCATTTGAAGGCCACTTAATTTTTTCAGCATGTATGTAACCACACCCTTTTGCCCCTTGAAAATAATTTTACATGTGTGATCATCTCTGTTCATTAATTTTGTCTGGTAGCAGACAACCACTTCAGTTCACAGGTTCACGTCATTATTAAACTCAGGTAAGTTTTCTTCTATTATATCTTTAAAGACTGCTTCTGTTTGCTCCAAAGTTTTCTTTAAAAACGCTGATTAGACCTATTATTGCTAAGCAAATTTATTTAAATATCTCTCATCTCATATTTCAACTAAAATGCCATTTTGTCAGAGAGCCCAACCCTGCAACGTCCTTATACTAAAGTGTCCAACACGTTCTGCCCATCACATTTTATTGATATTTTTCCGATAATGCATATACCTCACTTAAAATGGTAACTGCAACTTAGCAAGCATACTTTTTAGCTGTTAGTTATTATTATATTTTCCTGGTTTATTGTCAGTCTGTCCTGATATAAATTTAAGATATATAAGAGAACACACTTTTGTTCTTCTTGTCCACTACTGTATTACTAGAGTTTAGAAAAATGTGCCTATGCAGAATGGCATTGAACTAATGGCACTGAAAGAGCTGATATGAAATAAATCATGGAATGAATTTATACCTACATACATATATAGATATATAAATCCTGGTAAAGTTTGTATCCTTTTTCTCAAGTAAATTGTTTTTTTCCAACTACACTGTGGGAAGTTAGCAAGTTAATATGAAAATCTGTACATTATTAAAGTACTGATGTAGTAACTTATAATCAAGCAGTTAACGAGCTGCAAAGCTCACCTGAAAAACCAGTTGCTCTATACATTTAATATGTATACAATTACCTCTTGTTATTGTCAAAACTAACTTGGGACATGAAGAGTAAATTGCAGAGACAAACTTAATAAATTGACTTTGATGTAGTTGCTTCTGGAACTAAAGCCTCTTGGGAACACACTGAGCTAAAATTCATACCTGAATCTTCTTCAGTTTTTAATCGAATCCTATTATGATAACTTAACAACAGAATTTCAATGACAGCTCAATTTTTTCCTGGACCCTAGATTCTTTTACACGTCAAGGAACCACTTTATCTACCCAAAGGTATTTCTCTTTATATTGTGTATCAGACAAGGGAGCTTAGAGGCCATGGAGGTGTTAAGGAAACATTATGCAATTAACATGAAACAAATCAGGGACACATGTCTGACTAAACTATTTTTTAGAATATCACAAGACACTATAAACATGCAGTGAAAAGCCATACTTAGGGAAAGCAGGCTAAATAGACAACGATTATTGACTGATTTGTAGTCAGTTCAAATCAAAATGCCCAAAGAGCTGTGCCTGTACAAGGTTTCCTTTAGTTGAAGCAAAAATAAACAAACAAAAAAATAATAAGAATACATTCACTTGGAAGATACACATTAATTTTAGGAATACCTTTCTTTGCTTAAAAGTATTTTAAAAACCAGTCTTTGTCCAAAAATTTTTTAAAAGATTACTAACGTATCAATACACTCTGGATATCTTATCAGATGAAATGCCTCCTTGCTTCTAGATACTTCCGTATTTACTGTCTACCTCCCCTCCACGTGTGAGGGCAAATTAACTTTTATGACTTTACTCCTCATTATGTGGAAGTCTAAGCATTAAAGCAATCTTTTTTAAGAGAAAAAAGGGCAAATCTATACTGAAAAACTTATTACTATTTTATTTTAATAGGTCTCACTCATGCCTGAGAAGTTGTAAATTGATTAAAATATTTACTTAAAATACACTGTAAAATTTATGAAAAAGGTAGAATTCATTTACTGTTGCTTTACTATCACTCAAAATTTTGTGTTCAAAAAATGTCTGAATTGTGTAGAATACAAATGGAACAGAGGACAAAAATTAAAAACCTATCTTTGAAAGACGAGTAATTGAAATAAAACTTGGTGACACTTACAAGCTAATACCTAAAGAGAAGGGGGGGGGGATTGATAATGCAATCAACTCATTTACTTTATAAAACAAATGTTCGTAATTGGAGATAATCATTTCGTAACTCACCTCTGCATACTTCAACTTCAATGTTTTATGCATTTCTCGGAAACGACTGTAACGCCTGAATACGGTCCACGTCTCATCCAGGACAGTGATCTGTTAACCAGGAAAAACAAAACAAATCAGCATTAGTTGGAGGAAAAATCGGTTTCCTCTTATTTGTTTAAAATAATTTGTTTAATGTATATACACTGATGTGTATAAAATTGGTGACTAATAAGAACCTGCTGTATAAAAAAATAAATAAAATAGAATTCAAAAATTCAAAAAAAACCCAATAAAACAATCATATAATTGTTCTTAAAAAATTTCTTTAAAATTGTTAATTAAAAATGCATCTTAAAAAAATAATTTGCTTCAAATTAAACAAATTGTTTAAAATAATTCAAAAATTTGTTTGTTTAAATTTGTTTCAAATAATTTAAAAATTAACGAAAAGTGATTTAGCACGTAAATTTCTCCAGAAGGGAAAATCTTAATCTAGCGGCGCAAATAAGACTTACAAATAATAACTGTACTCTGCTTAAGCATGCATCTCTGCTTCCCAAATACGATTACGAGCGGCATGTGACTCTGTAAAGTGAAGGACACAGAGTTTCATGGCTTTTCAGAAGTGTCCCTCCACTCTCCACGTGGGGTGCAGAAAGGACATCCCACAGCGTGACCTTTCTGTTACAGTGATGTGCCTACATGAAATGTTTACACTTTTATGTAAAATGTCAGTGTTGGTTTCCAGATGCCACCGCAATGGACAAGAGAGAAGCAGCAGCAGAGAAGAAAAACAAGGATGAGGAGAAGGGAGAGGGAGGAGGACAAAGAAAAAAAAAGACTCTGTCTGCATCTCAATGATCATTAGTATCAAAACCCACACTGTATTTTGCTTTATTTCGGAGGAAGAATTCTCAGTCCAGCCTCTAACCAGTAGTGGAACTTACTGTTCCTATTGGATGGCAGGTGGACACTGGTGCCCATCAGTCACATACCAAGGTCACGGTGACCAGGAGAGGCTGGGAGACACCACCAGCCTCCACGGTCACACCTGAGGCACAGGCTCCTGATCAAGTTCCCATCTCATTCCCACTCGTCTTCCTCCAAGCTCCAGACCCACGTCCCTAACTGGGAGACGTCTTTCTTTAGATGCCGCACACCAACCTCAAGGTCAGACTGTGTGAAACAAATCCACCCGTTCTCTCCAATCTCAACTCTATTTCATCTCGGTGCATGTCACCACCATCCACCAAGCCACACCACACAGACGCTGGTCCCCAGTCCCTGCAGCAAGCCACAGTCAGACAAGCACCAGGTCCTGCACCTCTCACCTCCTAGACCTTCCTTAGCGCTCTACCCTTCCATCCTTCACTGCCACTGCCATCTCATTCTGGGCCACCAGGTCTCACGTGGCCTCGGCCAGGCCTCTCCCAGTGTCTCCATCCAGTTGCCCCTCCAATCCCTTCTATGCACAATTGACAGGGGAGCTTTTTAAAAACTTAAATCTGATCATTCTACATCCCCCCTTAAGTCCCCTAGAAGCTTCACGCTGCTCCCACAAGAAGACCCAGATTTTATATTTGTACCCAACCACGTGCAGCAGCCTCTCCCCCTCCCGCAGGTGTCTCACTCCCTGGAAGCGCACACTCCTTCCCATGCTGGGCCTCTGCAGGGGCCGCGCCCCCGTACTGGAAACCTTACCCCGCACATTAGAGAAACGCCCTTCTCAGGCTGGTGATTCAGCTTTTGGTTCTCCTGCATGTACACCCCAGGGGTGAGCAGGAAAGTCAGGGATCAGTAAACCACAGAGATCAGTAGTGGGAGGACACCCATGCGGGGAGCCTCGGAAGGAAGAGGGAGTCCTGAGTCTCAGCCATCCGCAGGTTCACTCACTTCCCCAAGTGGCAAATGAGATGATTTGGGGTTATGCAAGGATGTATAATATTAAAACTTTCACTGTTCTGGCTCTATATTTATCATTTACAATAATGTTTTCATTGTGGCAGGTTTCTTCTTGTGAGTTTCTTTTAAAAAGATATTTCTGTAAGGAAAAAAAGGTAAGTATGTTTACAAAAAATCATTTACTAAAAATAGTACCAACGTCACCGAAGCTTGGGAAACACTGCTCCTGGCAGCTCAGCTGGGGGTTTTCTCCCCAGCTCTCTCCTCCTCAACAGACCCCACTGAGCACAATTAGCCAGGGGGTGAGGGCTTCCTTAGGGCAAGAGCACAGCAATATGCCACCTTGGCTGGGCGCAACCAGGTGTCAAGGAGAGACCTGGACACGAGTGGGCGTGATGCTGCCTGCTTGCCAAGAAAGCCCAGGAATTAATAGAACCATACCCGCGACCCGGGAGTAGTAAGATGCAAGATGCTCACAGGGAAACCATCCTGTCCTGGGACTTTGGAATCCAGAGAAAGTCACAGAAGAAGCCTAGGTCTCCCTCCTCCCTCAGAATCTAATGCTCCCTGGATCTCTGACTGCTTCCACTGTTCCTCTTGAACCCACAGTCAGTCAAGTGCAAAATCCCCCCATCCTCAGCCTCTTCTGGGAACTTCCCCTTCATCTTCACTCTAACTGAGAGCTGGCTCTCCCCGAGGGACCCCTTCCCCTGTAGCCATCTCAAGTAGGGACTGTGTTCTCCCCACACTCTTCACCCTGTTGTGCTGGGAGGTTGGTAGATGCTTTTTTATTTCCATCCAACTTTCACACCACTGCTCCTCTGCCCTTCCTAAAACCCCACCTACGTGAAGCCCCCACCTTCGGATCCTACCTGTACCCATCCTTCTCGCAGGCAATTCCCCTTAGTCACATCCCCGACTCCTTGAACGTCTTAGGTTTTGCTCACTGTCATCTGCTCCAACGCTATGGAACTCCTGCCATGAATCTTGGAAATTTCATCAACCAACAGATGATCCCTCCAACACCCCGACCTCCTGTTCCTTGACTTTTGCCCTGGTTCCTCCCTCACCCAACTTGGAAACCATGGGCAATCACTACAACTTTTCCCTTGCATTCAACCTCAAATCTCTTTGTTCTGCTCTAGAAATTCCCTTGACTAAGCTAAACCACGATCTTGGTTAAATCCAGCTGTCTGCTTACTCCCCAGCCTGTACCTGCAGGATGGGGCTGAAGGAAAACATGCCACCAAATGGCTGCCTGGTCCCATTTTAAAGTCACAGTCACCACTTTGAGGTCAGCCTGGATGCCTCCAAACAGTCATACCACATTTCCCCATTCCATCCATTCTCCCATTCTCTTAGATAAGAGTTTTCTAAACAGTTTACTCCACCTTTCTCCTCACTCTCAGATGATAACCTGAGTTCCTATTTCACTGAGAAAGTGGAAGCAATCAACAGAACACTCCCACAACCACCCTCAGCCCACCATGGCCCCCATCGGCCTTGTACCTCCTCTTGCCTCCTGCTGCCGGGCGTGGGATGTACACCACTGCTCCTGGTTAAGGCCAACCCCTCTTCCTAAACGCTGCATTCTGGACTCCACGCCCTCCTGCCTTCTGAAAGAAACTGCAATCAGCAATTTTCTTTTCTCTCTCCTGCACCAACACATTCCCCAGTCTCTACTAGATTATTCCATCAGCATCTAAACTAGCTAGGATTTCTCTCACCTTAAACTCCCACCTTGGCCTCCCTTCCCCTTCCAACTGCCACTCCATTTCTGTCCTTCCTATTATAACAAACTCCTTGCAAGAGTTTATTTTTTTATTTTATTTTTTTGCGGTACGCGGGCCTCTCACTGCTGCAGCCTCTCCCGTTGCGGAGCACAGGCTCCAGACGCGCAGGCTCAGCGGCCATGGCTCACGGGCCCAGTCGCTCCGCGGCATGTGGGATCTTCCCGGGCCGGGGCACGAACCCGCGTCCCCTGCATCGGCAGGCGGACTCTCAACCACTGCGCCACCAGGGAAGCCCCACAAGAGTTTATTCTTGATGTCATCAATTTCCTTCTTCCCAGGATCCCTTCAATCCAGCCTCAGTTACTCACATTCCACTCAGACTACTCTCATCTACTCTTACCAAGGTCACAACGACTGCCACAGGTTACTTCATGCTAAACCACTGGTTCATTCTCGGCCCTGATCTGACTTGACCTATGGCAGGATTTGATGGAGCCGACAGCTCCTCCTTGAAACATCTTTTTCATCTGGCTTCCAGGCTGCTGCCTCTCTTACCTTAGTATTCTTTGCTGGGATTTCTCTTCATCTCCCTGACCTCTAAACATCAAAGTGTCCCAGGGCTTAGTCCTTGAACGTGTTTTATTTTCTACCTGAGCTCACTCCCTTGGTGATCTCATCCCATCTCATAGCTTAAACTTATACCACCAGGGAAGCCCACAAGAGTTTATTCTTGATGTCATCAATTTCCTTCTTCCCAGGATCCCTTCAATCCAGCCTCAGTTACTCACATTCCACTCAGACTACTCTCATCTACTCTTACCAAGGTCACAACGACTGCCACAGGTTACTTCATGCTAAACCACTGGTTCATTCTCGGCCCTGATCTGACTTGACCTATGGCAGGATTTGATGGAGCCGACAGCTCCTCCTTGAAACATCTTTTTCATCTGGCTTCCAGGCTGCTGCCTCTCTTACCTTAGTATTCTTTGCTGGGATTTCTCTTCATCTCCCTGACCTCTAAACATCAAAGTGTCCCAGGGCTTAGTCCTTGAACGTGTTTTATTTTCTACCTGAGCTCACTCCCTTGGTGATCTCATCCCATCTCATAGCTTAAACTTATACCAATGATTCCCGGGATGCTCATCTCTCTCCCTTGAACCCAGACTCGTACATCCTACTGCCTACTTGATATGTCTGCCTACCTGGGTGTCTAACTGCATCTCAAACTTAACATGGCTAAATTTACCAAAATTATTCTCATCCAGACCTCCTCCCCCATCTCAGTAATGACAATGCCATTCTTCTCTTTCTTCAATCCAGAAACTGTGGCATCGTCTTCGATGTTCCTCCTTCTCTCACGTCTCACATCCAATCAGTCAGCAAATCCTTTCCACCACACTCCAAATATCATGAGAATCTGACACTTTGTGCCATCACCACCATCAGCATCTTGGTCTAAGCCACCGTCACCTC